TCTTTTTTAAACTACATTTTGTATACTGAATTTTGGAAGGATAAAATGCTCTAAACCGTAATTAAACAACAAAAAGTTTTCGTGGAGCAAAGCTACTTTGAAAAAATAGTTGAGAAAAATGAGATGTAGCACTATTTTTTGAAAAATCATTGGTAAATAACAAATGCTGTATAACTTAAAAAAAGGTATTTGAGATGTCATAAAAGACTGTAAAAATTTTGATAATGTATTAAAAAGGCATAAAATGTTTAAAAAAACATTTAAAAAATATCAAAAGACTTAAGTGAAGTTTCAGTCAATTAGATGAAATTTGACAAAGAATAAATAATTTGATGGTCATAAAAAAGAGGAAGATCCACACTGCGCGACTAAATTACTTTGTTATGTACACTCTTACGAAAAAAGTAATCAAATTTTCGATACTCATAGTAAAAATTCGAAAACGATTGCAATCATTTTTCAAAAATTAAAAATTTAAAATTCTCAAAATTGACCCAATTCCATGGATATTTTTGTAGCCTAATAATCGTTTTTGGTATTCTTGCTAGCAGCCAAGAAGAATGGAGAAGATACCAAGTGCACTGATGGTGGACAGGAATGTGGCGAAGAAACAACAGCTATCCGAAATAAAATGACCACAAGAACTAACAATTTCCACTGAAAAGGCGTTCTTTTTCCCTACAGACCTCTTCACGGTCAATAATTCTGGACCATGGCAAGCACGCGTACTCAGTAAATTCAAGCAACATGTAAACCCAGGATTCCAAGTCATCCCTTCGGCCTTGTTCCTGTGATCGATGGCATGTTCGAGATGCGAACCGTACAGTACCCAGAAAACGCACTTTTTTGCGGGGTAGCCTGAAACGATCATTGTATTCTCAGTGGCGATTATTCGGCTATTTCACGTCTTTTTTGTTGAAATGCACGACAAGTCGTCCGTCTGTTACGGGTAGATTGGGTTTTTTAATAACATTCTGTAGTTATTTAACACTGTGACAGACTTATTTACCGGTTGAAACGCAAGCAGGCTTGCTGGTGCGATCATGAGTTTTTGCACCGGACTTGAAGTACTCAAGTCATTAATTGCATGAATGGTTGTTGCTTTTCACCTACCTTTTGCGCCCACTAGCGTAAGTCACCATAAATTTTGCATAAAGTAGATGAACAATTTCCATTTAGCGGTCACTCTTTGAAATTAATCTAGCTGTTCAGTGAGAGGTTTTCCCGCCAAACTTTGAAATGTCCATACGTCAGAAACACGTATGCCTAAAGGCTGAATTTGAAATATTTAAGTTGACTTGGGCAGAGAACATTACCCCAAAACTTCAGCTTTCTAGCTTTTCTGGCCTTCGAGTTAGTAATTTTCCTGCCAAAACATTTGTACGCCGTTGCGTGAATACCACGCATGCCTGGAGACCGAATTTGAAATCTTTAGGTCACACACGCACAGGGATTATCCCTCCAAAGTTTCAGCTCCTCACCTTGTCTAGTTCCCGAGATCACTTTCCCGCTAAAAAAATACGCATATTTTTTAAGAAGTCCGTACGTGGCACCCAGGCAAAGATGGATGATGATATTGGAACGGGACGGTCGCGCATGGTATGGGCACATACTTCCAAAGTTTCAACCTTCTAGCTTTTCTGATTCTTGAGTTGAAAGTGAGCGACAAAAAATGTAAACACACAGACAGTCTCTTCCCAACAGCGTTTTTGCAATTTGCATACATGCGAAAACGCATAAAAATGGATTTTTTTAAGTGAATGAATTCTTTCCTTTGTGAAAAAAAAAATGAATTTTAAACAATATGCTACTGTTATCAAGAACATCGGGACAGTCGGTGCGAGTATCCCATGTAAATGCAATTACTTGAATGCTATCAAATAGCGAGGTAATAAATACCCATACCAACAGTCCAGGCGGTCTTGGTTCTGATATTTTACAAATAATCATGAAATAAGTTGCTGCCTGAAGGATAGAGAAGATAAAAAGACCTAATAGCTTTGCTGGTTCTCTCGGTATATCGTCGAGCGATGCCGAAATCGAGAATGTAAATTGTACTGCTCTTCTCTTTCAAACCAATTGTGAAATTCTGTGGCTTAATATCACGATGCAAGTAACCAAGATCGTGCAAATTCGAGATTCCTTCGAGTGTTTCTATCCCCAGCTTTATGGTGGTCGTAAACCTGTAAAACGATCATGTCTGTTTCTCTAGAAACAACACAAACTAAAAAACAGTAGTTGACCAAGAATATCAGGATCATTCGAACAATCGGTGTGGATATACCTGTTAGCGATGTTACCGGAATACTTCCACATCTGCGCAAAGCTGTGGTTGTTCTAATCGATACGAAGTTGGAGAAGTGAAATTCTTCCGAAATAATTTATTGAAATTCTTCTTAAATTTAATAGCCAAAATTTGAAGGCCCCCGGCATCAGACTGACCACCAGATGAGCAGCACTGGACGAAGCAGTTAGAAAAGTTGTCGAGTGCAAGTTGGAGAAACAAGCTGTGCACTTATGTTCACTCATGGCACCTCTAAAATGGCCAGATGCTCCTCGTTTGCGTTGGAAGTATTTACGAAGAAATCCGTCACAAATTACCCACAAATTTAAATTATGCACATAATGAACAAAAGACTGACGAGAATTGCCTATCAAGTTGCTGTTTTTGAAGTTTATCGATACTAGTGCCAACCATCTGCATAACGATGAATTTAAAATTTTCCGTTCGTCCTGAAATGATTACATCTCGATATAGTGATCTGTAAAAACTCCAGTTAATCCAGTTTTATATCCTATCTGTTGCACAGTTCCGCCCTTCCAACTTTTGTAAACCTAGAAATAGTCTTTAAAGTTGCGTAGCAGTATGCAAAATAGAGCGAGATCATTGAGATACGTGTAAGAATTCATCTAATGTTTAGTGCAGTTTGGATGTCCCCTCTCGACCCTGAGCTACATGTGAATGCCCACTGCCAGTCCAATATGCGCCACCAGCCGGAGTGATCGTTTTGCTTTTTGCCGGATATCATACACTGATACGCGATGTCTACCACTATCAGCAAGAAAGCGATATGCACTGATCCTCGGACTTCACTCTTCCTGGTGACCAGTATCATTTTCTGGCAATACTAAGAATATCAAGAGAAGATTGCCTAAGCTATCAGTTTAAATATCTCATCTTAGTGATGTCGCTGGGATGCTCGCACACGTCAAGTTCAACTATGTCAGCTTCATTCGATCCTGGGGACAGTGCTTGTAGTTATTTGGTTGTACCCTGCCGTGTTTCGACACTAGTTCGATCCGTGAAACATCCAGGGATCGGGAATTTGTGGAAGATCTTTTGGTAATAATTTGGAAAGAAAACATAAAAATCATTTGCACAATATTTTAAAATTACTCACCTCTGTCGATAAGTTTTACAAAATGTCTTCTTTTTTCTTGCGGCAGAACTTCACACTCTTGTAAAATTGTCATTTCGACCTACAAATAGAAACATGTCAGTGTCGAAAAAAAGCCATTTTAAACTACACAAACGTGAATTGGGTTTTCAGAGAATTTTTATCTCAAATACAGTATCACGCCCTGGTGCCTTCTCCTCCCAACAACCCTGCCTAGAGTTTTATATTGTATTTACGGTCCAAAAGTTGAGTCAGATTTTGCTTCCACAATGGGTGTGGAATTGAGCTTGAAAGATCAGTCTCCTGTGAATCCCCCAGATCTCATACCGCTAGAAAAACGGGGTTCCTGCACTCTGAGCTGCAAAGGAGGGCTGACAGAACTCAGAGTGTAAAATTTCACTCGCGTTTATTATGATAGGGCTAGGTAGACGAAATTAAGAACGTTGCAAACTAGACGGAAAAAAGGTGAAGTTTCTCATTATCTAAAAGTAGCAACCTTGGGGATGAGATGGTCCTGCACAGGACACACCAAGAACATTTGAAAACGGTTAAAACCTAGAAAATGACACTGTTGAAAAAAAATCGTTAAGTAATGTCCTAAAAATGCGAAACGAGTGTCACGATCGACAGCAGTAAGCTGACCACTGGACGATGCTGCATCGATCAAAAGCAATTAAAAAAGTTGCCAGTTGCATAAGTGGAGGAACAAACTGTGAATTGCA